GGACGCCGTACCAAAGAGCCCACATGGGCGGACCCTACATGGGCGGATCTCTGTGCGCGCGAGGCTGACGCCCATTTCACATGGGCGGACGTCCACGCCCGCCGAAACACTAATCAACATAATTTAAGGGAAAGTAGTCTGGTTTAAAGGTAAGTAGAAATTAGGAGCTATCGGGCCGTTTTGGGCCGTGATTAACTTTTCACTAATCCCAAGCCCATAGCGAAAACTATAAATACAGGTCCACGGTGAGTGGTAGATAGGTTACATTGAATGCACATTTATTGCTACTACTGAAAATAACCAATGCTCTGAAACTGACTTTGGCATCGGAGAATCTTTTGTAGGTCTCCACCCCTCCGGATCAAGAGGAGAGCCAAAGCGCCAGGAGAAAATCCGTCACGGAGACAAGACAACGGGAGGACTTGGAAGACTTGGAACCGCACAGCCCTACACATCCGAAACAAAAAGCAAAGGTGATGAAGCCAATCTTGCACAGGACGTGGGTGACTCCGACTCTGATCATGTTCTTTTAATGAGCACAATTGGACGTGATAAAGATGAGTTGCGTTGGAGAATAACCAAAGACAGACGTAAGAGTAAAGTTCATGAGTTGAACAGGTGTAAGAATGAAGTTTTTGCACAAGACAGGTGTCAAGAAATGGACCACGTGTTGATGTCTCACGATTCGAGCCATGCAGAAGACAAAACCTGTTGGTATTTAGATACAGGGTGCTTCAACCATATGACAGGTAAGAAGGAATGACTGATAGACCTGGATACAAGCATCAGAAGCAGCATGAGATTTGCAGACAACAATGTGATCATGGCTGAAGGGGCTGGAAAAATCCTGATCAAACGCAAGGATGGTCGATCTGCTTACATGAACAACGTGTTGTATGTTCCAAACATGAAGAGTAATTTGTTGAGTTTGGGACAACTTCTGGAGAAAGGTTACACGATGACAATGCATGAGAAACACATAAAGGTGTTTGATGAAAGGCAACGACTTGTTCTCAAAGCTCCACTTGCCAAGAACATAACGTTTAAGGTAAACCTCAATGCCACTGCTATACAATGCTTAGCTGTTGTTGATACTAAAGAGGAAGCATGGCTATGGCACTATCGTTTCGGTCATCTTAATTTTAGAAGTCTGAGTCTGTTGAGAAGCAAAGACCTTGTGAAAGGGGTTCCAATGATACAAATTCCTGACAGAGTGTGTGAAGGCTGTGTTGTTGGGAAGCAAACCAGAACTGAATTTAAGAAAAACACATACAAGAGAGCAAAACAATCTCTTGAAGTTGTCTATTCAGATGTGTGCGGACCTTTTGATGTGAATTCGATTGGAGGTAACAAATATTTCTTACTCTTTGTAGATGAGTGGACTAGAAAGATTTGGATCTACTTAATTAAAGAAAAGAAGGATGTATACTCATGCTTTGTGAAATTTTGTGCTATGGTGGAGAGACAATCCGGTTTGCTGGTCAAGACCTTCAGGACTGACGATGGAGGAGATTTCAACTCACACGAGATGAACAAGTTATGTGTTGATAAAGGAATTGTGCATGAGGTGGTATCTCCATATACACCCCATCACAATGGTCTGGATGAAAAGAGGAACATGATGCTTCTTGACATGACTAGGTGCATGATCAAAGCCAAGAAGATGCCACACTACTTATGGGGAGAAGTCGTTTCCACTACAGCCTATATGCTTAATATAAGCCCGACCATATCCTTACCAAATTGCACTCCTAAAGAAGCTTGGTCAGGAATCAAGCCAGCTGCTAATAACCTCTGGATCTTTGGGTCTGTGTGCTACAAGCACATTCCAAATGAAAGAAGAAAGAAGCTAGATGATACAAGTGAAACCTTCATCCTCGTGGGGGTATCACTCAACAGGAGCGTATAGACTCTACAATCCAAAGAAGAAATAGGTGATCATCAATAAAGATGTGATAGTGGATGAAGGGGCTGCATTTGATTGGGAGAAGGCAGATGATAAACCAGTATCTATTCCTGGTTTGTTAGAAGATAGAAGTACTCCTGTGAAACACGTTTCTGTTAATAGTGAAGGCAACAATAGAAGATCTCAAAGAGTGAGGTTTCCCTCCACAAGGCTGTCAGGTCACGAGGTGTTTGCAGATAGTGATATAGCAGATCGGGAGATTTGGCTCATCTTGTGTTTCTGGATGATGCAGAACCTATCACTTGGAGACAAGCTATTGATGTAAAGGAGTGGAAAGAAGCCATGATTGAAGAGCTGAAGGCTATTGAAAAGAACATAACTTGGGAAATGGTAGAGCTACCTCAACACAAATAGGCAATTGAGGTAAAATGGGTTTTCATAACCAAGTACAAAGGGTTTTTGCAGAAACCAGGAGTTGATTACACGGATGTCTTTGCACCAGTTGCAAGGCTTGAGACTGTGAGACTTGTGATAGCAGTAGCTATCTTTAATAACTGGAAAATTAAACAGCTGGATGTGAAATCAGTATTTCTAAATGGTCCTTTAGAGGAAGAGGTATATGTAAGGCAACCACCTGAGTTTGAGAAGAGAGGTGAAGAGCAGAAGATTTATAAGCTGAACAAAGCTTTGTACAGGCTTAAGCAAACACCACAGGCATGGAACAATCATATTAATGCGTTACTGCTCAAGCTGGGATTCTAGAAGTGTTTTGTTGAATTTGGTGTATATGTGAGGACTGCTGGTCTGCAGAATAAGCTACTGATTTGCCTATAAATAGATGATCTTCTTGTGACTGAAGATTCTGAAGAAGAAATTGAAGAGTTCAAGAAGAGAATGAAAGAGGAGTATGATATGACCGATTTAGGCAAGCTGAACTACTTTCTCGGGTTGGAATTTGTTGAAACAGCGAGTGGAGTTGTTCTGCATCAAGGAAGGTACATCAGCGAAGTAACCGTTTTAATATGAAAGACTGCAATAGTGTACCAATTCCTGTCATTGCAAACTTAAAGCTAGCGGAACAACTTGATGAAAAATGTGTGGATGCCTCGTTGTACAAACAGATTGTAGGGTCTGAGGTATATATGCAACAACAGGCCAGATATAAGTTATGGTGTTGGATTGTTGAGTATGTTTATGAATGAACCCAGGATATCACACATGACAACTGCCAAACATGTCTTGAGGTACTTGAAGGGAACAACTAACTTTGGTCTTCTATTTCCGAAAATATCAAACATCATGGAGGGTACCTTGGAGGTTTGGAATGACTCTGACTGGTGTGGAGATAAGGTTGATAGAAGGAGTACCTTTGGCTATTTCATTAAGTACACAAGAGCACCCATTTCCTGGTGTTCCAAAAAACAAAAGTGTGGTGGCACTTTCATCTTGTGAAGCAGAGTACATTGCTTCTGCGGAAACAACATGTCAGTGCGTGTGGCTGGAGGCACTTCTCAATGATCTAAGGCTTGAGTATAGAAAGTCAATACAATTCTTGGTAGACAACAAATCTACCATTAGCTTGTCAAAGAACTTAGTGTTTCACGGAAGAAGCAAACACATTGAAACGAAATTCCATTTCTTGAGGGATTTGGTCAGCCAAGGAAAGATTGAATTAAATCATTGTTCAACTGAGAATCAAGTAGCTGATGCTTTTACAAAGGCTTTGAGACAGAACAAGTTTGAAAGATTGAGAGAGTTAATGAATGTTATACCTATAGGAAGTTTGGTTTAAAGGGGTGTGTTGTTGTAAACCCAAACTACCATAAGCTATAGTTCACGTGCTTACTCTTTACTACATACATTTCTGTATACTTCCATTCTTGGTCAATGAGAATTATTTTTCTCTCTTGTTATCCATTACTCTATGCATTACTTAGTTTCTCTGCATAAATACCCGCTGCACTTCCTAGCATACATTCTGCACCAACATATCATTCCCATATATCTCATGACCATGAATATACAACACATACAAAAAGAAAAGGGACAAAAAGCAACGAAGAATAAACACTTATATTGTCAACTTAACAGAGTGAAATTTAACACGAAATCACCTCAGTTATCACAGCAGGAGTGCAAAATCAGATTCTCCAAAAAATAAGTGAATAACAGGAACTCTAGATTGTGAAAGAGCAGTGGCGTGATCACATATGGCTAGAGTTTTGGAAGGCCACTGCATCAACTATGTGACTCAGAAATATCTGAGTCATCAAAATTGCTATTACACTTTGCCTTAATTGCCACAGCCATTCTTTTCAGCTCATTGTGTTTATATTTATGCATGGTTCTACAAAGGCAATAAAAGCACTAGCAACAAGCGATGCTGAAGAATAGTGACTCAAGGATATTAATCGTGCGCCTAGTTTGGAAAATTTACGGAAAATGAAAAAGAAAAAATTGAGCACAAAAAGAAAGGTTTGGAAAAATTTAAACATAAAAAAAAAATTATGAAAAATATATCATAATTTGTGAAGGTCATAAACATCTTTAAAAAATAATTAAAACTGTCATTATTATGAGTCTTTTAACAATTCACTATAATTATCTTAAATAATATTAATTTATGAAAAGTTTTTATAACCCCACTAAATAATAATTATTTTTAGTGAATAAAATATAATAATAAAATACTTTGGACACTATCCATGTTAAAAACATATATAATATTATCCACTTATACTGTGTCATCTATGTGACACGATATTTTATAAACTGGCTCGAGTCCCTAACAATCTGTGGAACTATAATTTCTCTTTTTATGCATGTATATTCGACTTTACATGCGTAAAAAAGACATCCCAAACGTATCTTTACTAATTTATTTGTTATTATTAATAAATAAAAAAGTTTTAGGATGAAAGATACTGTAGGGTTTCTGAAAGTAAAGATAAGTAGGCAAGAAAATTGAGAAAATATACTAAATTCACTAAGGTTAATTTCTCTTAGAAATGCCATAAATATTAGGAATATCTAACAAGCTTAATTCCTCTTACATTAAATCCACCACCACAAAATGTTGGCATGGGAATTCATTTTATTGACAAGATACTTTTGGAACTGTGGATCCAATCGTCCCATTAACAATATTTTTACAAAAAGCATAGACATGTTTAGAAGATTTTGAAGAGACAATATAAATCTGATCCAATGTAATGTTGAAACAACCAAATGGACTACAGTTTAAGTTAATTGTTTTCTCACTTTCAGAAGTTCCGTTGAATCCTCTATAAGTCACTTCACTCACCCTCACTGCATCATCTTCCTGTTACCATAATTGTTTCAAATCAAAATATTGAAATCACATATCATAATAATGTGAATGCAAATTCAAGTTTATACCACTTCACTTGGAGTTTTAATGCCGTAGTATTGGTCTATAATAATTGAATTCTTAGCATCTTGCAGTATGATTTCCTCAAACATGATTTTTCTTGCATACCCTGATCCACCCTGCATAAAATTGGAAAATGAAAAGATATAAATTAAGATGATACCATGAGATATTGAATGGTGGAGACTTCACATTAACTATAAAAAAAAGGTAGATTTACCATATATAAAGTACAAATCTTACTTTTTCAAATTGTTTTTATAAGATTGAATTATATTTAAAGACTACTTATTAATAATGTATGACCAAACAATTAGTTACAGACGAATGATCAATCGGTCAGTTATCTTGATGGGCCAAACTCTCCGAATATTAAGAAATTACTAAACACTAATTAGCTTAGAATAAAGTGTGATTATCAAGAATTAAGTCGTAATTAGGTCGTCCTTAACCTACACATCATTCTGAAAATTATAAATACAAGTTTAAGATAAAGAGATAGGTGAAATAAAAAGATACGTGATTACATTTAATATGCATTAATTTTTAAAATTGTTGAATCTTTACCGACTTTGGTATCGGAATACCTTCTGCAGATAACATTCAAGTTTAATCGAACAAACATTTAGGACGAATAGTGTTAAAGACTAGCATTCGGATCATCTTAGCATAGTAAATATTTTACCTCGATCCCATAATCAAAATGTATTTTAGAGAGATTTGTTATTTTGGATCCGGTCTTAGACTATCCATTAGTTTTATAATATATATATATATATATATATATATATATATAAATAAATGTTTGAAGTTGGTTTTGTAAGGTTCTCATTTAATATTGAAGGATAAAATATCAAACAAAAGTTAATAAAAAATATTATGATGTATGAAGCATTGTATATATAAGTTACTCACTGTCCATGTCTTGATTCTTGCTCCATTTGTGGTGCCAATGAAGCTGCAATTTTGTACATGTACCTCTTCGACTGTTTCATAGGATTTGTTTCTGCCAAGGCTTCCAATGCTGCTTGATTCATACATGTTTCATTACATGTCATGCACAGTTCAATCAAATATTTAACTTTACTATTACATCAACTTTCATAATAAAGAACAATTAATTTAACATTACAGAAACTATATATATGATACAATTTATACAAACCTTATCCCGTGGCCTCCTATGCAAAAAAGTCGAGTTGCATTGATGTAAGAAGAACCACCATTGATGGCAATACAATCATCACCTATTTAGAAAGACATGGTAAATTACAATGTTTCACATAGTTTAGCTTAAATTCACACTCTATAACGCATTGAATACGATGAAAACTTGGTTAACCATATCAACAAAGTATATTACTTTAAGTACTTTCTCCATGTTATCATCTTAAAATACCTCTTCAAACAAGTAAAATGTATTTTTTTTCCTTTTAATTTCATTTTGAATTCTCTGTTGAAATTTTATTATTATTTCTCCTATCTTCGAAATATACTTATATGATTGCTTTTAATGTCTTAAACTATGTTAAAAAAAGTTTAATACACTGAAATTAGTATATTTTGAAGATACGACAGAAAAACAATATAAAAAACTAATAGAAAATCCGAACTATTTTCTTAGTTTACCTGTTGCCAGAGTAGAATCTTGGATTACTATATTTTTGGAATTGGCAATGTCAAAGCCATCAGTGTTAGGACTTTTTGGAGGAGAATTGATATTGATGTGAGAGAATAATGCTCCATTGCAGCCATTTACTGATATGTGAGCTCCAGGGCTGTTACTCATACTTAGAGATTTAACAGTAAGACCATTACAAGAATGGAAACGTAAGGACTGCATCACATTCATATGAAAATTTTCAGCCAGAAGGCTTTGAGATTAAGAAAAAAATTAAAATCTGATTCCATTTTCTGTGCTAAAGAAATTTCAAGTAAATGAGGAATGGGATAAGAAAGAAAGTGAAAAGTAGAAAAAGAATGTGATATATCATACTGTTGGCCTTCTGCATGTTCTGCATTTCTCCCACCAAGTGGAACCGTTGCCATCAATGATTCCTCCATCAGCCTCAATTGTCAGACCATTTACATAGAATATCTTAATCCAACTGAACGAATCACCATCCCATTCATCCATACATGGAGCAACTATCTTCCCTTCAAACTGCAACAAAATTAGAGGAAAAGAAAACAAAAGGAGAAGAAAATTATCAAACTTGACTATTAATTTGAGTAAATGTTTTTGTTGAAAATCTAATTATGAGTTTAAGTGATACATCGTGTAAAAATCAGAAAATTAAACATTATATAAAGAATAATATTCATAAATAGATTGTTTTAAAATTTGCTAAATGTGGTTTTTTCATAGGTGTTTTCTTTATTAATAAATATATTTTCCATTCCCCATCTATTAAAAAAAATGACGAGATTTCTCAATCAACTATAATATAGTCTTTACATGTGGTTTGCTGACGAGAATCTTTTATATTACTTTCGTAGAGTATAGAGTATAGAGATGAAATTCTTTACAATTTAATTTGATAATTGTATCGTATAACCGTTTAATCAACTTAAGACCATATAATCTTATCATGTATGAAATATCTAACTAATCGATTAATGAGTAAGATGAGCTTTAAGATTAAAGAAAATTACATTAAACTTAAGTATGATCATTATATGTTCGACCATAATTAGATCATGTTAATTTGAAACTCATTTCAAAATCTATAAATAGAAGTTTAAAATATTGTGATAGATTAATTATATTTAATACACATTTATTACTATTATTGTTGTTGAATTTTTACTGACTTTAAAATCAAATTAGCTTATGCAAGTAACTCCCCAATCAATTTGACCAAACAATAATAAATTTGAAGTAAAGGAAAATTTTGGGTTAAATATGTTTTTAGTCCCTAAACTATTGGCCGTTTCTGGTTTTCGTCCTTCTTTCAAAGTAAGGTACAATTTGGTCCTCATTCTTTTCGAAACGTTCGTTTTAGTCCTCGGAATTTTGGTTTTAGTCCTCATTTGTTGGTAAATGAGGACCAAATTTTTAAACAGTGTTTAGTTTTCAAGGACTAAAACGAACGTTTCGAAAAGAATGAGGACCAAATTGTACCTTACTTTGAAACAGGGACGAAAACCAGAAATGGCCAATAATTTAGGGACTAAAAACATATTTAACCCGAAAATTTTTGACATATGCTTAGGGTCAGAAGAACGATCAAAAAGAAGGGTTAACCTCCCATAAATCGAACAATAAGATCTAATATTTATAATATTTTGAAGTAAAAAATATATTTAAACTTATTAAATACCCTATTAAATACCTTAATGCCAACATTTGGAGCTTTGCATGGACCATTTAGGTTTAATCTTTTCACCAAAAATATTTTGTTTGAAGGTATCAGTAGAGTTGCTGGTTCTTCCTCTCCACACATACCTTGCCATGCATTTGAAATTGCCTACAATCAATTAACACAAATGGTTAAAGATCACTCCATTCGTTAGACAAAAATTTATTACAATCAAATGATTATTGTAAAAAAATTCAAATTTTGCTTTCACTTTAAAAGATTGTTTTGTAATTTACAATTGAATTAAAATTGTAAGATGGTATTAAAGTTTCATCAAGATGAAAGCTGCTTATCTAAAATCCGTTTTGAAATAAGTCATTCATTATAAAGAAATGTGATTTATTTATTTGACTATTTAAGGTTAGGCAAAACCAAAACCAAGAATGAGGAAAGTATATATAACACATTTATATAAAGAGTGAGAAAAAAAAAAGATATATACATTTGAATCATCAGTTGTGCCATCACCAAGAGCTCCATAGTCCATCACATTAAAATATTTGATTTGGGTTTCATAATTGTGTTTCAGACAGAACGTGGCTGAAATAAAACCTAGAATCAAGATACCACTCATTAACCTTTGCATTTTTTACAAATTCTAGAATAACACTCTTTTCTTTTTCTTATTTCTGAAAGAATTGATCCTTCACTGTAACCAGTGATCAATAAATATGGAATTGGAAAAAAGAAATTAAATGCATAAGGTCATAATCATTAAATTGCACATGCTTTTCTTTAAGGAGTAAAAGTAACTTTAAATAGGTCACTGATTATTTATTGAACACTAATTCCGTTTTGGGTAGTCAAAACTGTAGTAAATTAATGTTAAAAATTAATTTAAAGACAAACTATTTATAATTTTTTATTTATAAAAAATTATTTTAAATATTAATAGTTTTTAATTTATAAATTAATATAAATTAGTCGCTTAGTTGTTATTTAAATATTTTCTTGTAAGTCATCTTTTTCATGCTCATCATATATAATAACAATAGTTAAAATAAATATTTTATTGAAATTATTTTCAAAGTGTTTTTTTTTTCACACAGAATTTATTAGCTGTATATTTTTATCTAAACAAATATATTTTTTTTTGATCATTTAAAGAAGAATTAAATAAAAGATAATGCGTTATTTCAACATTTCATAAATGCTAACTGAAAAAAAAATTCAAAAACTAATTAAAATAAAAGTTAACATTAAAGTATAACTTATTTAAATAATATATAATAAACATTTTATTATTATTATTATTATTATATATATATATATATATAGTGAAAACACGTGTTCACTTCTTTTTAACATATTATATAAAATCTATGGGAAATTACCCACTGAAGTGACGCAACCTTTTCCAAAAAAATTGTCTGTCCAAAGTTATCCACAAAAAATAAAAATCCATGGAAAACGTTTTCTATGAGCATATTATTCAGAGTTCGTGAACGAAACACTATTACTCAGGAAATTTGAATGTTTTTCACGAATTTTTAGCATGAAAATTTTAAATTTTTCTTATAATATAAATTAGTATTTAAATTAATTATCATACAGACTAATTACTTTTAGTCTCTATAATTCATTGTTATTTAAATATTTTTTACAGTATTTGTCATCTAAAATAATTTTAGTGACTTATATATTTTCATGGTCATTCATACGTAACAATAGTTAAAATAATAAGTAGTTGGACTTTTATTGAAATTACCTTCTAAGCGTAATGGTATATACTAGTGAATATTATGTCAATAATTGCATGTGGTTGTAACAACAACTCCCTTAAATTATTTTTATGTGATTTCAAAGGTATGTTCATATCACTAAACCAAAAATATTTTTGTGGTTAGAGTTGTTGGAAGAACTTTAGAACCCTGAATTTTTAACTACAATTGGTGAAGTCATATGTGTTAAATATGTAAAATTTTAAAGTTTTTGGTTTGTTGTTGTTTGAATGTGTTGAATTGTGATAATTTGGTGAGAAATTGTTTGAAGATATTGAGATTTGAGCAATTAGCCTCACACACAAAAATATATTTACTCGGTAGAATATGCGCTAGTTTCATTGTACACAAGCAAGCAATTTAAAGTAGTTGTGTACATCCATCTAAATCTCTTAGAATAAAACTAAAAACACAACAAAAAAAATAAAACGAAAAAAAACACCATTTTCTTAATTTCAGTTAACAAAATTCTCCCATAAACTTCAATTTTTCATCCTTTATTTGGTTTTCCATGTGCATCACCCTGTATCAAACTTGCTTCTTTCAACCAAATTTGGATTCTTCATTTTCTTCATGTTAGTTGTGTTGTCTTTCACCTTAACTAAACTCTCTAATGTTTTGGACGACTTGTTCTTTGTTCTATCCAACTTTTCAGTAACATCAACCAACTCGTTTTTTACTTTAGACGGCTTCTCAATAATCTTGGTTGACCTCTCAACAACATTGGCCAACTTAATCTTGTCCGAAATTTTACTCATCATATTTTTTGTCATCTCAGTATAAGAGCATCTCACACCCTGGTTCTTCTCAGCATCTTCATCTTCCTCTTTCTCGTTTTCATCTAGTTCAAGAACACTAGATGTTTCCTCCTCCTTTTCAACAGTCGTCTTCTTCAACTCCTCAAGTTCTGTCTTCTGTTTATTCATAATCTCGTTAGCTTCATCCAGCAGTTTCCCTATCTGATGAATCTCTTCTTCTTTTTTGTTTGAGTTTATTCTTCATGTTTGACGCACCATTTACCAATATTACTTCATCCATTGTTGGAACCTAGCTCTCCATGTTCACACTCTTTATATTTGAGCCTTTTGCCATCAAGAAGATTTCACACTCTTGTTTTGTATCTTTAGTAAGGAGATTTGTCTTTCCCTTTGTCTCAACCTTGCAATACTTTGCAATGTTGCCAATCTTACTAGAGTTGTAGCACTTCTTCGATCTGCACTCGTTTGCATAGTGGTCGTACTTGCCACACTTAAAACACCCAACTTATAACCGATCCCCTCAGCCTTTACCTTGTCTTCAGTCACGCAAATTCTTCTGATCGATTTTCTCTTTACTGTCATCCTAAAAATTACCTCGCCCACATCCACATCGTCCTCGTCCTGCTTGTCCTCTGCCTCCAAGACATCGTCTCTGAGTAATCTAAGTTTCATTCGAGTCAAACTGTGCATGTAGTGCTTGATCAAAAGATTCAACACGTTCATCCCAACTCCTTCTTCTTTGTTTGTGGGCTTCTAATGACCCAACATGTTCATCCACTTTGAGAACTAACAAGTCCTTCGATTCTTCGAAGGTGCATAGGATACTTTCAAAATCTTTTGTGAGGAATCTCAAGATTTTTCTCACAACCCGGCTAGGTGGCATTTGTTCTTCATTCCTGCCAAGTTGGTTGACCACCTTCTCCACCCAAGTTATGTACTCGATTATATGTTCTTTGGGCCTCATCTTCAATTTTTCAAACTCTCCTTTAAGAGCTTGTATTCGGACTTGTCTAACGCGGTTGTCACTTGTATACGCAACCTCTAATATCTCCCAGGATTCCTTTGTTGATCCGGCATTCGCTATTTTTTTTAATCCCGGCTCATCATCTACTACATTGTAGAGAAAAAATGTACTATCATCCAAAAGAAAAGAGCTTCATAAAAGGTTGGAACCCTACAAAAACGTGATTCATTACCACTCATAAGCATGTCATTCCTATGATATAAACCTTGTTTCCTTTTGTTATCATTATGATATAACTAATATAACGTTATGTCTTTTAAAATTGATGTATGTATATAACCCTATATTCTGTTACAAGTACAAGAGCTGGAACAGGTTGTATACGTTGATGAGGTATTTTAACAAGTTCATCTTTGAAAGGGATCTGTCCAATTTATTGATGAAAGGTCTCAGAGGACACATGTAACCAAATACGTTTACTATTATTTGCTTTAAACTTTAAACTTATACTATTGTTTCCTTTAAGCTTCTTTCTTTTACTGACAATTTGCAAAATCTTTAACAGGAAGAATTTTCAAATAGACTCTCATAAGTCAGATCTAAGCAAGGGTCATGTCCTGATGCATCATAAGAACATGATAATGAGGATGACATCATTAGAACACAATGTTAGGTTGACGTTGTCAGTGAAAAAAAATAAAAGACAACTATATGGACCAATAAACTTTGTCTCTAGAAGCACAGAGTTGTCTTCAACAGCCTCAGTTCACCAACACCGTCCTAGCAAATACCCAATCTAGCCTAACCCATCCTAGTCCAGCCACATTCACAACAGTAGTAATTGGATGACGAAGAAGAAGAAAACAATTATGATAACTATGTAGATTATTAAGACTTTGTCACTTATAAACATATTTTTAAAACTTCTATGTTTGTTTGAAGTGCATTATAAACATGTATGTGATGTTTATGTGGTATTGTATTAATGTCATCTCGGATTTGATTGTCTTTTTTGTTGTCTAATTGGTATTGTATTAGTTTAGGTCCAGGATTCAATATGTGGTATGAAAATATAGTCCATACTGGTATGGAATTTGAATTTACCAATAGATAAATATGTTGATGATATCCCGTACTGGTCATATTATGAATGAATAAATATTTCAATAATTATTAACAGACGATATATATTACCGATAACACTTTTATTGAAGAATTTTTTTCGTCGATAATTTATAAAAAAAAAACAATCATTATCAATAAATTTTTCAGTTTTCCGTTTTCCACAGCTGCTAACCATCAATAAATTCAGTTTTTTATGTAGTGTATAATTTCAGTGAAGGAAAAGTGACTAAGCAATAGCAGGTGTAAAATCTTAGACTACTAATAACACAAGTTCTTCAAAAGTCTTAGTAATGATATTTTTTTAATGTTTTGTGAAGATTTGACAATTTAAAATAATTGTCCGAGATTGTTTGCAAATAACTAAGTTATAAGTTTTATAATATTGTTATCTTTTATTTAAAACTTACAAGTTTTGAATTATCTCTGGTTTAGTATATAGATTTTTTTTTATGTATAGTAATGTTATCTGTTTGTCTCTTGATCATAATAATTTATATGAGTAAATGATAACAGTTGGAGCTAGTTTAAAGAAACAAAAGTACTATAATTCTTAGAATTTGTATAAAGAAAACTTATATTTTAATATACTAATTTTGATCTCAACTAAATTCTTTTTGAAATATTATTGTAATTTTATTTACAATTAGATTAATATAGACTTTGTTTATGTTTATGATTATGTAATTCCTCCTGTTATAAGTATTTGGTAAAATACCATAGATGGGTTGTTTATAAAACCAATATCACTATCGTGCTTTCCTTTCTCACGTTATCCATTATCACGTTTTTCACGTTTAAACAGTGGAAAAGGTAATCTTATTCCAGAAAAAGGAAGTCCAACAAAATCATCTCGCTAATATCATTTTCAATTTGGAATCATTTGTCACTTTCATCATTTTCATGAACCTTTTCTCTGTAATAATTAAATTGAATTAAATTCAAAGAGCAGTTGGAGATATGTGTAAATTTGATGAAAATCAAATTGGAAAGAGATTTGTACGTGACCTAGTTAGTTACTTAATAAAAAAAACTTGTAAATTATTATTAGTTTATTATTGTGATTTTTCGTAAATAAAAATCAAATTACAGACTTATGCATTTATACTTACTAAAGGAAGATTATCTTTGTAATTATTTTATAACTATATTTGATGTAAATATATTTTCATTGACAAATTATTTTATTTTTTAAATTTTATATTTATTTTTTAAATTTTAATTAATTATTTATAATAAAATTATAAAATTATTTTATTTTATATCTTATCTTTTTAAATAAATTGAATTTTGAAGGAAATTGAGAAAAAGAAAAAATATAAATTTCCTTTTCTGTTCAATCAACAAAAAAATACATTTCTTTTTCTTTTATAATTTCTGTCGAAAGTCTAATTCTTTGAATCATTTGAAACCAAATTATACATCAAGATCACAAAAAACTGTATTTGGGATATTAATTGAAATATAAATTGGTTAATAGTTAAATTAATTATTTAAGACTATGTCTATCTAAATTTATTTTAATTCAGAATTAAGTTTGTAGAATGAAATGAAGCATGTAAAATTTCCATGGTGAAAACAGTGTCACTGTCACTTATGTTTTCTTCATTTAAGGGTAATAATGGAGAAACAGAAACTCTTTTGTCAGCAACATCATCATTGGTGAGTAATTTTCAGTTTAGGATAATTTTCTTCTTTATGATTTCCTTGAACCCTTTTGTCTATAAACTGAACTGAATTGAAACTCAGAAACCCAGCTGAGTAAAAGAAGATGGCACAAGTGAGGAACAAGCAAGTGCTTCTGAGGGACCATGTCACAGGTTTTCCAAAAGAATCCGACATGAACATTGTCGAAAGTACCATAACATTGAAGCTTCCACAAGGTTCCAATCATGTCCTGCTAAAAAATCTGTACTTGTCCTGTGACCCTTACATGAGGAATCTCATGAGCAAACCAGAAGGATCCCCCAATAGTCGCGCCTACACTCCTGGATCCGTAAGTAATTTTTTTTTCCTTTTGTTGCTGCAAATTATGCAGTTTGATTCGTTAAATAATGTACTTCTTGTTTATGGACTTTTAGATACATATATGGGTTTTGTTTATGTGAATTAATCTTTGAAAGATGATGTTGTTGGCATGTTCATGATATCGGGACCGGTTTGTGTAATTGAAAGGTTTTAATTGGTTTGAGTTGTGAATATTTTGTTTGATAATCAGATGGAATCAATGCATTTCAGGAAGTGGGTTTTGCAATTTGTGTTTAAAATTCTTAAAATTTGTAGTTTTTGAGATTGTTCTTTGAGTTTAATCGCTATTCACACCATCAACCAATTGGAGTTGGTGATGATTATGAGTTTTGAGCTAGCTGTTGTGAAAGTTAAGAAATTTATTGTGTAAGGCAATTGTATGATTGAATCACACTGTAAAAACTCTTTACTACACATGCAATAATTTGCTCTTATTGTTTTAGTTTTTCACTTTACCTTTTGAATTGAGATTGAAGTTAATCAAAGAATGTTCATGATCGAAACTGCAATTGAAGAATGTATCTTTGCTTCCGGTGATTAGTGTTAGTGATTGCAGCCATTAACAGGATATGGTGTGTCTAAAGTGTTGGAGTCTGGACACCCAAATTATAAGGAAGGTGATTTAGTGTGGGGATTTACCAATTGGGAAGAGTATAGCTTGTTATCCTCTGCTCAAATACTATTCAAAATTGAGCACACTGATGTTCCACTTACCTACTACACTGGAATTCTTGGTATGTGTTCTGTAATTTCAACTTACACTGTCTTTGAATGATGCATTTGACATTGATATCATTATGAACTGCATGTTGGGGTTTATTGAAGTTTTGTCATGAATAGATTACCCTTTTTTAAGTTTCATTGGGATAAAGGGGTTAACCATCACGGTGTAAGGATTTGTTTGGACAAGGTTCTCCATAAGAAATTTCAAAAGAGAAAATTTAGAAGAAAAAAAAGGAAAGCCTCTATTCTCATTTGGAACTGAAAGTGCAGTTCTTCACTGCCTTTATATATCTGTTACAGCCTTGTATGGGTGGTAATCTCTCAGTTTTAGTATGTATATTTTCTGTTATATTTTGAAATTATACATTCTGTTTCTTCATCATATGAAGTTATATTATATCCAGGCAAGCATGCAAGCAAGAATCTTTGTAATCAGCTCCCTTTTATTCTTGTATGTTTAGTATTAAGGGTTAAGCATCATAGAAGAACATGATGTGTAGGACTTGGTTTTCTGTCTGTTTGTTCCTATTTCCTTCTCCATTTGCTTCTTTTGTTCAGTCAACGTTATTGGCTATTGATCACTGATTCAGGAGACTTGTTGGCTGATCAGCTTTGATACTGAAGAGAACAAACATTGTATCATGGTTCTATTTCATCTGGAAGTTGTTGCTAAATTCTTTTATAGGTCTATTGCTGTGCATCTACAACTCTGTGATCTACTTCTATCAATTTATATTACACTTTTTAGCTTTTAATATTCTGACTCTATACATGCTTTCTCTTGATTTCGTTGAGCTCGGATTT